CAAACTTGGACAGGAGCTTGTTTATGATCATAAGATAGTATCCAGAAGTAAATTTTATAAAAATAAAATTCCACTTTTTCCGTATTTTACTTATAAATGAACTTAGTTTTTCTGCCGGGAAATATTACATTCACTCTGTGGTTAAAGTTTTTAAAATTTTAATATCTTCCTTAAACTATCCTGCGTTTGTACCAAACTTGGACAGAAGCTTGTTTATGTTCATAAGATAGTATCTAGAAGTAAATTTTGTAAAAAAATAAATCCATTTTTTCCTTATTTTACTTTTAAATGGACTTAGATTTTCTGTCAGGAAACAACACATTCACTCTGTGGTTAAAGTTTTTAAAATTTTAATAACTTTCTTATACTATTTTGGATTTGTACCAAACTTGGACAGAAGCTTGTTTATGATCAAAAGCTAGTAACTAGAAGGAAATTTTGTAAAAAAATATATCCATTTTTTCCGTACTTTACTGTTAAATGGACTTAGATTTTCTGCCAGGAAACAACATATTCACTCTGTGGTTAAAGTTTTTAAAATTTTAATAACTTTCTTATACTATTTTGGATTTGTACCAAACTTGGACAGAAGCTTGTTTATGATCAAATGCTAGTATCTAGAAGGAAATTTTGTTTTCTTCCAGTTAACATTACATTCAGTCTGCAGTTAAAGTTTTTAAACATTTATTAGATTCATAAACTATCCTGGATTTTTACCAAACTTGGACAGAAGCTTCTTACAATCAAAAGATAGTATCAAGAGGAATATTTTTATTGATTTACTTCCTCATTTTTGTTGAGCCTGCGATTAACAGAAAAAGTAGGCGAGACACTGTTTTCCGCGGAACCCTTACGAATTTTTATGTGTCTTATGTAACTTGCTGCATACTAGTTTGTATTGTTATGCCTTTGTATAGAAAATATCAAGATGTGGTATGATTGCAAATGAGACAAGTATCCACCAGAGACTTATAGGTCACGTACATACGACCTTCAACAATGAGCAAAATCTATACCGTATAGCTAGCTATAAAAGCCTCATTAATGTGAAAACAATAACCGAAAAACAAATGTTACAGACTGCAACCAACGAATACGACTGAATAACAGGCTCTTGACTTGAGACAGGCTCTTGACTTGAGACAGGCTCTTGACTTGAGACAGGCTCTTGGCTTGAGACAGGCTCTTGACTTGAGACAGGCTCTTGACTTGAGAGGCTCTTGGCTTGAGACAGGCTCTTGACTTGAGACAGGCTCTTGACTTGAGACAGGCTCTTGGCTTGAGACAGGCTCTTGACTTGAGACAGGCTCTTGGCTTGAGACAGGCTCTTGGCTTGAGACAGGCTCTTGACTTGAGACAGGCTCTTGACTTGAGACAAGCTCTTTCCTTGAGACAGGCTCTTGACTTGAGACAGGCTCTTGACTTGAGACAGGCTCTTGACTTGAGACAGGCTCTTGACTTGAGACAGGCCCTTGACTTGAGACAGGCCCTTGAATTGAGACAGGCCCTTGACTTGAGACAGGCTCTTGACTTGAGACAGGCTCTTGACTTGAGACAGGCTATGCAGAATGTGACAAGGTTAAACATGCTTCCGAGCACTCAAAACTCTCCTTAGACTGATATAGTGGTGCAACAGCACACCATAAGAACTAAATGTAAAAATCAGTTGATCTCAACAGATAAGCACGATCGAGGTATAAACGGCTAGCAATAAATGGGGAATGTGTCCATGGGACACAGATGATTCCCCCGCTTGCATATAACGTTAAAAAGGGACATAACTCAAGAACGGTAAAAGTGACGCTACCGAAATTCGAACTTGATCTGAGTTTTGTGGTAATAAGCATTGTGTATAAGTTTCATATAACATTTGGTTGAGACAAACTTAAGTTAGAGAACAGAAACAAAAATTTAGCAATTTGTCCATTTGAAAAGGGGCATAACTATAGAACGGTAAAAGTGACGACACCAATATATCCGTGTTTTGTGGTAATAAGCATTGTGTATAAGTTTCATAACATTTGGTTGAGGCAAACTTAAGTTTGAGAAGGAAACCAATTTCGGAACATACGGACGTACAGACGGACAAGGGTAAAACTTAATGCCCCATTCGTTACGGCGGGGGCACAAAAAGACTAATTAATATGTCTTTTCAAAGTTCAATTTTGAAAAGACGTGAAGTACCGATCTAAGAGTACTCGCAGTTAATGAAAACAAGTTCAAAGCAAATAACAACTAATAAATACATCATGTATTCCTTGATCAGTGGTTGTCGTTGGTTGCTGTCTGTTATAAATGATTTTCTCTTATTGTTTTGTTATAAGTCAGGCAGTTGTTTTTTCCCGGTTGAATTGTTCCACATTTTGTCACGTCGGGAACTTTCATATCTGACTATGTATATACGGTATGGTTTTTCTCTGTTGGATAGCTTTGGCAACCATAACACATCTCCTTATTTAAGTACTGTAAACCAACTATTTTTCGAGAGTGATTTATTTTCGCGACTTTCGCGAGTAAAAAAATAACGCGAAAATTAATCGCCGCGAACATGTAAAAATATTATCTATCCTTATTGAAATACATCAAATAGTTTAAAAATCGCGAAATTAAATCGTCGCGTAGTGGACTAGAAAGGGCTAAACGCGAAATAAAGTATCCGCGAAAATAAGATGGTTTACAGTATGTCGATTGTCGTATCCTTTTTGTAATCAAATCAACTACTGTTGTCTACTTTTCCTCGACTGATGATTAGCAGAAAAGTAGAATAAACGGAGATATGTTCTTGTACGTCTTCGTAAACTATACTTTGGTTTTTCCGTTTGAATGGTTTTACACTAGTAATTTTTTAGGGCCCTTTATAGCTTGCTATTCGGTGTGAGCCAATGCTCCGTGTTGAAGGCCGTACCTTGACCTATAATGGTTTACTTTTATAAATTGTAACTTGGATGGAGAGTTGTCTCATTGGCACTCATACCACATCTTCCTATATCTATTTGACGACATCAACTGTACATGTTTATGTCTATGATACTGCCAAAAGCAGTCTAAATACACGATGTGAAAACGATGTAAGAAAAATAAAATTATTACGAGGATCCTCAAGATCCAAATCCCCCCACCCCCGCTTTGTTACTTTCAAGATAAGGCAGCATCGTCTTAAAATTCTGAAATGTAAAGTTAATTCTTTGTGTCTTACGTCTTTTTGTTAGCTTTTGTCAAGCCAAGCCCTTTTCAACTGATTTTTACAATTTGTCCTTATATTTCTAACATTTTACCTGTACATTTTAAGTTTCCAATTAATAATCTTCGTTCTGGGAAGGTGGAGCAATAGTATTTTGGAAATGAATATTCCTTAATACGAAAGTGGGGCGTCCGTTTGGTTGTACGGGATGTATAAATACGCAGCCACGTCCGGTCCATTTTACCTTTATCCGGTCGATCCCTATTACAGAACATACCACCTGTATTCATTCTTAATGTGTTCTCGTCCTTACCGTTCTCGTCCTGAACATGCATGCAATATTTGCCACTGGGAGTTAAATATCCATCAATCAATCGAAGATCAGAGCAATACAAAAGCACGCTGATGCGGTGTAAAGCAATCATGGATCAACCAATCAGAGCCAAAATGTCCTAAAATAGATCAATAAAAACCAACATTCCTTTAATACATTTCATGACTCTTCTTTGCATTTAAATGACATCTGTACACTGTGATTGTATTTTCATTAAACACTTTGAAATAGGATAAATGAATTTAAACAAAAGTGCACACACTGAAATGTCTCGCCTAGTATACTGACCATTGATTTTATGTTGATAGTCCTAAATAAAAAGTTTTACTGTAAGTATCACATTAAACATTTATAATGCAAGAAAATGAGGTCAAGGTCAGATAAACCAAGCCGGAAATACATATACATTTTAAATACAATCATTCCATACACCAAATATAGTTGACCTATTCTTATATATATATAGTATCTAAGAAACAAAGTTAACCAGGAAAACTGAACATTGACCAAGTGAACCATGAAAATGAGTTGAAGGTCAGATAATACCAGCCAGACAGACATATACACCTTACATTCATTCCATACACCAAATACAGTTGACCTATTGATTAAAGTTTAAGAAAAACAAATCAAAACACAAAAACTTAACATTAAGCAATGAACCATGAAAATGAGGTCAAATTCAAATAAAACCTGCCAGACTGACGAGATCATCGCAAAATATTTCCATACACCAAATATTGCTGACCTATTGCATACACAGACCAAAAAACAAAAACTTTACATTGAGCAATGAACGTAGAAAATGGGGTCAAGGTCAAATACAATCTGCCAGACTGACATGTACATCGTAAAATATTTCCATACACCAAATATAGTTGACCTTATTGCATACACTATTAGAAAAACAGACCAAAACACAAAAACTTAACTTTTACCACTGAACCATGAAAATGAGGTCAAGGTCAGATGACACCTGCCAATTGGACATGTACACCTTACATTACATACACCAAATATAGTAGGCCTATTGCTTATGTATCTGAGATGTGTACTTGACCACGAAAACTTAACCTTGTTCACTGATCCATGAAATGAGGTCGAGGTCAAGTGAAAACTGTCTGACAGGCATGAGGACCTTGCAAGATACGCACATACCAAATATAGTTATCCTATTACTCATAATTAACATTACAAAAAATCTTAACTTTTTTTTCAAGTAGTCACTGAACCATGAAAATGAGATCAAGGACAATGGACATATCACAGACAGAAACTTCATATCATAAGGCATCTATATACAAAGTATGAAGCATCCAGGTCTTCTCCCTTCTGCAATATTAAGCTTTTTAAGTAGTTAGTTAACGCCGCCGCCGCCGCCGCCGCCGCCGGATCACTATCACTATGTCGAGCTTTGTGCGACAGAAGTCGCAGGCTCGACAAAAATCGAAAAACTCTTTCACACTTGCGTAATAAAAGCGTACATTTTAAGTGTCAAAGATCTTTTATTTATTTGCATAAAACTTGTTCCGCTTAACGAGCTGAACAATGAGAATGGTGACATTAAGTAAGAAAAGACAATTAAGGAGAACAATTGTTTACAATCCAAATATATAATAATCTTCACCGGGCTACATGTAATAAAGATAAAAATGTATAATAACCCGAATTATTCCGCTGCTCTACGATGCTCTACGATGGCTACTCGTGAATGGGCCGAGAGTCAATCACGGGGAGGGACTGAATTATTCGGGTTGAGTGTATAACAACTTATAAATGTAAGCTTGGCATAGTTTTTGCTATGTCTATTGTTTGAAAACTACGCCGCATTAACAGTTTGACCGTTGTGTTAGTTTTCAACATTAATAGCGTGACACTGCTGTGTTTAGTCTTCATCAGAATTAAGTGTGACAATGTTGTGTAAGTTTTCCTCATCATTAACAATTTGACACTGTTGTGTTTAGTTTTCCTCAACATTAACAGTTTGACACTGTTGTTTTTGAGTTTTCCTCATCATTAACAGTGTTACAATGTTGTGTTTAGTTTTCCTCAACATTAACAGTTTGGCATTGCTGTGTTAAAGATTCTACACTACTGCTACTGTCAGGACTGGACTGTGGTACCTTCTCAAACGAAATAGTGTGCACTAAATGTTGTCCCATGAATGAAATATCGACTTGAGTGTCGCAGATCGAGAGCGACTTGAGAGGTGCACGCTGTGTCATACGATTTCCGTACCGTGACGATATCATGTTGATCTTTTTATACGGTGGACTGTGCAGTATACCACAGTTATGACATATCCTGGCAACGGAAATTTTCAACCTATTTTCTGGATAAACACTGAGAAGGTAGTCCAACCGTACGTTACTTCCTTTGAGAGGATAACGGTCCCCTTGGTGGATAATTTTCGGTGGCTCTATGATCGTGTTTTTGACCACTACAGATACACTGTTATGTAAGCTATCGTTAGAAGCATCGTAGTCAATGTTTGACTGACCAGACATGAATTCAGGGATGGGGAGGAGTGTAATCTGTCGTATTCTCAACGGAACTTTAGTCGTTATATTCAATGTCTCGAAACAGAATGATTCTATTGTCTTCTGTCCAACATGGCTTGCAAGGAGATCGTTAACATCGAGTGAAAATGGAAGTAATCCGTTACGTGGCTCGCAAGAGAATAACGGAATTTCAATGTGTTCTTCGTCTTTCAAAGTAAAGTATTTGTAAAACATCAATTGTTCTTCGGCCGTAAGAAGTCCACTTTTTACAACAACCTTTGAATATTCCTCCAAGGTTAATAGGGGAATGCGAATCAAGTTCAATAGGTCACCTAAAATTTTGCGTTGATTTTCACCACTACCTTCTAAATTTTGCAGCTCGCATTGATTTTTGGCCCATTTGACAACAGCATTGAACATATCAATTTCCTTTGCTTTAAGTCTTTCACTTTTGAAAACAGTCCAAATATTTTCCCTAACCAAAGTATCGAATCCCTCAGTGCCAAATACTTCTTTTGCGTTTATCTCTATACAAAGTAACGCCATGTTGGCTAGTTCGTGCATCCCAAAAAACGTTGCCTGGTTGTAGATGACGCATGCATTATCAACGTCAATGGCACATTCCAGATATCGTTCACATTGCTTCGCGAGGTCAGTTAAAGCGTACTTTGTCGCTGCATGTAACATAGGTGTCACATTGTTCCCATCAAGATTTACCACGTCTGTGTAGATGTATCTGAAATTAAAAGAGTTGTTGCGATGTAGTAAGGCACCGATCATTCATCTTTTATGGGGGATGGGGGTTCTTGGAACAAACAATTTACATTCAACTTTATTGAAAAAATATACATTATTTTCCAATATCATACAGGAACAAAATTTATATATTTCCTAATTTTCAATGAAAGCATACTTTTTATACTTCCCTTTTGAAGCAAATAATCTTTTATCGAGAAATTAGGAACCAAACAATGTATTCAAAAATATAATATGTAGAACAGCATTGGCGTACCCTTTAGGAGCACATGACATCACTCGGCTGTTTTGATTTGTTTGTGTTGCTCAGTCTTTAGTTTTCTTTATATGTAGTGTTCTGTAGAAAGTTGTTTGTCTTTTCGTCGTTTTTCGGTTTTTTATTTTATTTTTTTATTTTTTGCCGCGGTTTTGACAGCTTATATTCGCCTCGTGAGTTTTGAATGTCCCTTTGGTATCTTCCGTCTTCAAAAGATAATACCACCAAAACTTACAATGAATGGCATAGATAGTTATATGGAATATAAAATATTTCCCCTGAAAAGCTGTTTCTTAGAGGGATAGATTTTAGAATGAGCACTTTTTATGGACTCAACCTTACACGGAAAAATTCCTTTTCGTCTGCATTAGACGTTTGGACGTTTTGTTTTTTTTTTGTTTTTTTTTCGAGGCATTGTTTTTTTTTTCTTTTAACAATAATGAAATTTATTTAAAAGATTTCCGACGCATTTAGATTAAAGTACATGTTTAAAACTTGTATGAACTTTTTAGTGATTTAAATAGCCCAAAATGTGACGGTTAAAATATGACAATAATGAACCCTGGGATAAAATCAAATCTGATACAGTTACAATATGTGCACCGAACAACCTGAAATAAACCATTTAGAAACGGCAGCAAAAGCATTTTTACATCTATTTTTTTATATACCATAAAATTGAGAATGGAAAATGGGGACATATCCAACTAAGTAAGACATCACGTGACGTTGGTGACGTAGCGAGCCGCCATTTTGCGTCATACATATTTGAAACAAGAATTTGTATAGTAAGACCTTCTTACTATACAAATCCTTGATTGAAATAAAGAAAATGTCAATGATTACTATATATATACAACTTGTGAAGGATAAATTTAACCGAGACACAAATCATTTCGACGAGTATAACCGGGACGGTTGCCTTAGTGAGATAATATGTAACACATCTTTCAACAGGTAGTGAAATTTGACTTTATTTTATTTCAACGGTTTTATTCAATAATTGTACCCGGAAATATGTATCGTTTCTGAATTATGGCTGTAAATGTTTTAACTGGCCATGGACTTGCAAGTGAACTGTGATAGTTTATTCTCATAAAAAGCATGAAGTACATAGGTTACAGAGAAGTTAAAAACATGCATAAAAAATATTAGATGAGACTGGGAACAGTATATCTAACGTTAATATATATGTTCCTGGATGAGATAACATAATATTTTTAAAAAAATAAAAAAAATAAATAAATAAATAAAAAAAAAAAGTAAATATATAAATAAATAGATAAATAAATAAATAAATATATGATTAATGCAACACTGGCAAAAATGTCAAAAGGAGATATTGTCATAGCACAATCGAGTTAAATACAAACAAAACATGCAAAACAGCATGCATTCAGCATGCATTGCATGGATTAAGAATCATAAGGATAACACACAATTTTGTAGAGGTTATGGAGGTGAAAAATGGGCTGCTGATTCACAAACTTTACATAGAAGTCCTTCGACTTTTTATTCAGTTAGTATAATATAATCCATTTTCTCCTTACCTCATCAGAGCAGTAAAAATCTCTAATGAAACATCAGTGACAGCAATCTCTGGACTCTTCTCTGGTAAATTTCCAAAAAACATGGCCTTAAAAACAGAACTCCTCACTGCAAGGGCAAATTTGTGGGCATGAAGGCGTTGGTTGGATTCCCCGGGGAACGTGAAGACTACGTCAGACATGTCAGCAGAACAGCACAACACAAACAAACTTTCGTTCATTGATTTACAGTCTTGTGGACACAGGCATTCTTCTGTGGTCGTCGCTTCTGCTGTCGCCATTATGTTTTTGAGAGGACAAATCTGTAATTAAAATAAATCTTCATTCACTACCCTTAACTTCATGTGTAATACTGAAAAAGAGGAAATTTTGAGAAGTAAATCAATTATCTGTAGGATCTAATAGGGACTCTTTCCGGATTGATCAGTTATCATCTGTTGTTACGCATGCTCATTTTTTGCTCTTTTCACTTTTGTACTCATTTGTATCCTAAACTATCCTACATTTTCATCCGGTCTTGGGCAATGCCATTAATTGTCAGTTCATTACAAGTTATTAATTTTCAAAATTCTCCTGCCCCCTCCGCGAAAATCAAATGGTTGGCCCCTAAATACGAAGTATAATATGTTTTAACAAATTTGAAATTAGATTTTGTAATGATTTTTTTTTTTAATTCTTTATTGCATATTTAGTTGGTTATTTTGAAATTTTGCAATCTTTTATTACGAATTAAAAAAAAATGTTATATCAAGAGATATAAAATTAATTGGCGAATAAAACTGCATTTTCCACGTTTTCCGTCAATTTTATGGTCTTCCCGTTTTTGAATTTACGTTGGAGATCAGTATTTTTGTTAGGCGTTTTATTTTTCTAGAGTTAGATTCTTTTTGCTCAAAACTTTTCGTTGAGTTTTGTTACAAATATGAACCACAGAACATGCACCGGATATTGTCAGAGTGACCTTATATTGCAACTGGTTACTATATTAATGTTCCTTAATGTAGAATTACATTGTTAGTTAACTGGGGGGGGGGGGGGGGGGGGGGTCGGAGGGGTCCAATTATTATTTTTGCCTAATCCCGATTTCCCGGGCCTTATTTGACAATATCCCGAGATCCCGATGAAATAACATATGCTTTTTTTGGCAAAATACATTAATTAATGATTGTATACTGTTCAAAGCTATCAGTCAGTCTGTTGTGCAGATTCCCTGTATCTAATTAATATAATCTAGTGAACTTAGTTTAAAACAGATATTTACATGGAGACTGCGACATTTTAAGACTTAAAAGACACATAAATAAGTTGGCTAGTTTAAGCTCAATAAAAGAAGGTAAGACATTTGTGTCTTTTACTTGGAGTATGATAGTACATTGTAGACATTGTTTGTATACGTTATCACTCTTCTTTACTCTGCAGCTTTTTTATGTGCTAGTCCGAAGCCAGGATACAGTGTCAAGTAGTTGTGCAAATACAGTGAATTTAATGTTGTTTTCGGGAAATTTTGTTTTGTGTCTTGCCATTTAATGTTGTCTGACATATTTTAAAAAAAATTCAATATGGGCTCTATTTAGCTCTGTGATCACTGCCGCAGTGAATAGACTCATCATAGATACCAGGACTAAAATTTTACACTTACGCCAGACGCGCGTTTCGTCTACAAAAGACTCATCAGTGACGCTCGACTCAAAAAATGTTTAAAAGGCCAAATAAAGTACGAAGTTGAAGAGCATTGAGGACCAAAAATTCCTAAAAATTTTGCCAAATACAGCTGACTGACAGTATTCTATAAATAACTTTGTAGAGTGCTTCAAAACTTAAGATTGTGTAACACGAAACTCAAACAAATTTTTGTGGGGTCAAAATTAGACGCTTTGGAAGGGTTACTTTTCCTTTGAATACTTATCTTGTGCTGGCTCACCTTGTTTAAATCCTGTTTTGTTTCTGTGTGTTATCGTGTCCTTTGGTTTACTAATGTTTGATACTCTTACATTTATAACTTTGACCAAGATGAACAAAATTATCTTTGAAGAAATCCAAAGACTTGAAACCATAGAACAAACAATGTGCAATTATATCCAAGTAGTATTTAAAAAAACATAAACCGTTGGAACAAATAAACGTGGGTACAAAAGGAACAATCACAAACAGAACACTGAACGCTAAAAAACATGCACGAACTCCTACAAAAACCTGGCAGTAAACCCAGGTACTCCGGAAGGGTAAGCTAATGCTATTTTTTTTTCAAACAAAATTAAGAGTCCCGATAGATAAAAATCTCGAATTCCCGGACGTAAAAACACGTAAATTCTCGATTAAACTAAATCCCGAAATCCCGATGATAATATAGCTCTTTCCCGAAATCCCGAACTTAAACATGGACAATCCCGGAGTCCCGATAAAGGTCCGACCCCCCTCTTTAACTAGTGTCTCTTTTTGTTACAGGTTTCGGGTGTTGAGCGTCTGTGTTGAGAAAAGACTATGTATACTAAATGGGACTAGTTTATTTTATCATAATCAAATCTGGGTTCTGGATGGGGTTTAAAGAATAGAGAATAATGGGTAACAAGCATTCTGAGAGTATTGCATGGCAATACATAGTCCCCTACCGGTTAAAAATTGATTGTACTGGAACAAAATGCTAACTTGATCTATAACTTGTCATATTAACAAATATCAAGTCAATATCTTCAAGCATGACGAAAAAAAGTGTGGAAAACTGATTATTTAAGTGAATTTTCTAAGTCCAAGGAACATAACTCTGCACAAAATAATCAAACCGGAACCAAATTTGAACTTGGTCTGTAACTTGTCATAATAAAACTATGTATCAATCATAAAATCAATATCTTCAAGCATGACGAAAAGAAAAGTTTGAAAAACTGATTATTTGAGTGAATTTTCTAAGTCTAAGGACCATCACTCTGCACAAAATCATCAGACCAGAACAAAATTCGAACTTGATCTGTGACTTGTCATGATAAAACAATGTACCAATTATTAAATCAATATCTTCAAGCATGACGAAAAAAAGTGCGGGAAACTGAATATTTTAGTGAATTTTCTAAGTCGAAGGACCATAACTCTGCACAAAATTATCAGACCGGAACAAAATTCGAACTTGATCTGTAACTTGTCATGATAAAACAATATACTAAATATCAAATCAATATCTTTAAGCTCGAAGAAAAAAGTGTGGAAAACTGATTTGCCGGACTGACGGATGGACAGACAGACAGACAGACAGACAGACGGACGGAGTGCAAACCTAAAGTCCCCTTCGACTTCGTCGGTAGGGGACTAAAAAGTGGAGAATAAAGGACAAAAATATAAAGAATAGAGAAAAATAGGTAAAAAATAAAGAATAGACACTACTGGGGTGCCGACAAATAAAGAACAGACACTACTGGGGTGCCTACAAATAAAGAATAGACACTACTAGGGTGCCGACAAATAAAGAACAGACACTACTGGGGTGCCGACAAATAAAGAACAGACACTACTGGGGTGCCGACAAATAAAGAACAGACACTACTGGGGTGCCGAAAAATAAAGAATAGACACTACTGGGGTGCCGACAAATAAAGAATAGACACTACTGGGGTGCCGACAAATAAAGAATAGACACTACTGGGGTGCCGACAAATAAAGAATAGACACTACGGGGGTGCCGACAAATAAAGAACAGACACTACTGGGGTGCCGACAAATAAAGAATAGACACTACTGGGGTGCCGACAAATAAAGAATAGACACTACTGGGGTGCCGACAAATAAAGAATAGACACTACTCTGGGGTGCCGACAAATAAAGAATAGACACTACTCTGGGGTGCCGAAAAATAAAGAATAGACACTACTGGGGTGCCGACAAATAAAGAATAGACACTACTGGGGTGCCGACAAATAAAGAATAGACACTACTGGGGTGCCGACAAATAAAGAATAGACACTACTGGGGTGCCGACAAATAAAGAATAGACACTACTGGGGTGCCGACAAATAAAGAACAGACACTACTGGGGTGCCGACAAATAAAGAACAGACACTACTGGGGTGCCGACAAATAAAGAATAGACACTACTGGGGTGCCGACAAATAAAGAATAGACACTACTGGGGTGCCGACAAATAAAGAATAGACACTACTGGGGTGCCGACAAATAAAGAAAATACACTATTGGGGTGCCGACAAATAAAGAATAAAGAATAAGAGTAAAAATAAATAAATGAAAAATATAGAAAAATGGTATAAAAGTTAAAGAATAAAGAAATGAAGGATCCCCCCTCTTCCAGACCCTCATGCATGAGGACCTACCAAAAAATCAAAATACCAGATGTTACAACATATTTTACTGACCAGAGAAATATAAGAGTAAAAAGTATCCGACTAGCTATTCTAAACCAACCTTTCCATGAACACTTACAGTGAAACCAATCTTTCTGTGCACACAATAACAGTGGAATCAATGTTACATGCAGTGAATCATCAATGATCTCAGAACCATTCTGATTTTACAAATAGTTTGAAATTCCCATAAAATTACTGATCAAGTATTCCAAAGATCCCATAATGATTTACAACTAGTTTGATTTCCCCATAAAATTACTGATCAATATAAAAATAAGAAGCTGTAGTATTATTGCAGAGGGGATTGACAGGGGGTTCCTAATTACCACTTCCTTACCCCCGAACTCCCACTTCCCTACTCATTACTCCAGACGAAAATTGGTCAAAAACAAATTTCCAAGGATATCCCAATTTTTACTCCCCCTCTTCCGCCCCCTCATTTCAATGTTCCCTTACTCCTGTCCACCCCCTCATTGCAATGAGACAACTCTACATGCACCAGTGACCATATGACGTATAAGTTAACAACTGTAGGTCACCGTACGGCCGTCAACCCATACCGCATAATAAGCTATAAGAGGACTTGAAATGATAAATTTAAAATAATTCAAACGAGAAAACAAACGGCCCGATTTATGTCAAAAAAAAACGAAAAACAAATATTATATACAGCAACAAAATGAAACCACTGATTTACAGACTCCTGACATGGAACAGGCACATAAAGAATGTGGCGGGGTTAAACATATTTGTTGGCGCCAAACCCTCTCCGTATCTGAGACAGTCTATAAAAATCAGTTGAAAAAAAGTATTCCAAGAATCCTATAATGATTTTACAATTATTTTTGAATTTCCCATAAACTTCTAAAGATCCATTGTGACACTACAAAGTTCATTTACCCTTAAACTAATCACATTATACGCTTTCAGAAAACAATAGTATCAATTACTCGCAAAGAATTTCAATTAATCAACGCCGTTTATTTTAGAACTTAAAACATTTGTAAATGGAAATTGATCTAATTAAACCTATGCACATTTTGCATTGATAATTTCCCTACGATATCTTAGGAATTTTTGCGAATAAAGAATTGGGCGCAAGACATTTGGGCTAAATCATAAGCGTGACCATGGTATCATGTGGGCTAAATCATAAGCGTGACCATGGTATCATGTGGGCTAAATCATAAGCGTGACCATGGTATCATTTGGGCTAAATCATAAGCGTGACCATGGTATCAATTGGATTAAACATTTTGGAGTCAAGTCTACATTTGGGCTAATTGTTTTTTTTAACCTGTAAATTGTAATGGCAAATTGCAGGTAAAGTTTATCAATATCAATATTTAATATGAAATATATAAGATATTAAATAAGAAAAAATAAAAATACAACCAACATAAAAATCCGGTCATTGGGAAATAATGCTAGTTTGAAAAGAAAAGAACTTGAAGCCTTACATCATTTAATTGAAACGAGTTTAAAGTGAATGTCAGCCAGTATCACAGTATCACAAGATTACAGTTCTTAAAGGCGCTTACAGATTTAGATTTAGGACCAGAACCAATCTTAGAGGAAATGCTATTGGATGTACTTTAATTATCATATTTTAACATAGCTGTTTTATACCTTCGTGTTGTACATAGTTTAAAAATATTTAGTGCTATAAAGATCGACTTGTCTTGCTCAAAATCTAACTTTCACAACCCCGTGGTGAGCAGAGAGCAGACACTGTCTGGCAAACGGAATAGGTACATAAAACAAGAACATGTTATAATAGAATGTCACTTATCACAATTAAAATATAGATATGTTACATGTAATTTACCTTTACATGGAAAGATTAGCCCAAACGTCGACTTTAGAATTTAGCCCAAACGTCGACTTGACATTGGCCCGAACGTAATATGTATTAAGCCCAAATTTTACACCAATTAACCCAAACGTGCATCGCCCAAAGAATTCAACTAGTGTATCGGTGTGCGTTTTTGTGTTTGGGCGGGGATATTTGTCGTATACGCCACCACAAAAATTAGAAGATTATAGAATTTTTCACAGGGTGTTTAAATAAATGATTTTTTTTTCTGAAATACATGTAATAATGTCGGTGATTGAATGTTGCTTGCATAACGTGGAGTGACAGATATACAAATGCATGTAGAAGATAAAATTTAATCATAATTCAAAGAATCTGAAACAGGTTCTTCATATGGTTTGATCAGTTTGAAGGGTATGAAATATGGACTACAACTCGGAAAAAAGTATTTAGGATAGTAACTGAGAGTTCGCCTTGCAATAGACCACCCACCAAGCCTCAAGGAGTCTTTTGAAGTTTCATTTTGTTTTATTTCGTTTCGTTTCGGCCAATTTTGTTGCGTTAATTTTCATTCCGTTTTGTTTTCATTTTGCACTCTACAGAAACATCATTAACGAATAAAAACCATGACACTTTTCAATATACGGACATCGGATTGAACGTCCTCATACCGACCGGACGTGTCTTCATAATTGGTCTTATTGTAGGTTATGTAGGTATTTCCAAATGCCAGTCGTCCTTGGGGTCAAAATAGTCAGGGATAAACACTAAATGTGCATATATAGATATAAGATGATGTGGTATGAGTGCCAATGAGACAACTCTCCATCCAAGTCAAAATTTATAAAAGTAAACCATTGTAGGTCAAAGTACGGTCTTCAACACGGAACCTTGGCTCACACCGAACAGCAAGCTATAAAGGGCCCCAAAAATTACTAGTGTAAAACCATATATGACTTGTATTGAAGTTTTGCAGACAGAGTCCGACTTAGTATGGACGTATTGGATTTTAGCAGACCAATTCTGACAACAAATGTTTGAAGATAAATTCTAACTAAGTGTGGACGTATTGGATTTTAGCAGACCAATTCTGACAACAAATGTTTGAAGATAAATTCTAACTAAGTGTGGACGTATTGGATTTTAGAAGACCAATTCTGACATCAAATGTTTGAAGATAAATTCTAACTAAGTGTGGACGTATTGGATTTTAGCAGACAGTATTGGAGATATTATATAATACGGACGAACTTTTATAGACATTCACTGAATAGAACAGACGACAAAAATAATCAAATATAAATGTCATGTTCTGTACATAAATTTTTATCTATAACAATTTTGTAATATCTTAATATTATAATATAGATATTTTATTCATATATTATGAAAATCGCATGGTTTGTCACAAAGCAAAGATAACAAGGGCATCTCTAAGAAAAGTGTCCCATTGCATTCCCACATAGTCATAAATGTTTGTTCCTTAACAACATCAGAATCCAGCAGAATTAGGTTCATCCTCTCTTCATGTTGGTCACTTTTTGTACAGTTATGTAAAAAATATAAGTCTGTGGATATACGTATGACTCCTTACCCGAAACATTATTTTTTTTAAATTTCGAATCTACAAGTATATTTTTTTTTAACTTTGCACTATTTAAATTTTGTATAGGATTGGAATGTTTTGTCATATCTGTAGAAGTCAACTGTACCATGAACTCTAAAACTTAACAATGCAAGTGGGTTTGGATGGTAGGGGAGGTTTTTTTTTTATTCCTTATTAGTTATTCTTTTAAGCGAATTTATCCGGTGCTCTATTCTTTATACCCCACACCCACTATTATTCTCTTATCGGTATATTTCAGCACGGCATTATTGAATTCTTATACCAGTACCCGATTATTCCCTATTCTTTATTTTTATTTTTTTTTGGAAGGGGGGGGGGGCAATTTTTCTCTTTTATGTAATTCAGATGCAGCCCTCATACATGCACAAGATACAGACGAATTTAAAAAAATTCAGACAGGACTGAAAACTAGTCTTTGGTGTACATTATAAAATTTATTTTACAATAAAAAGATACACAACAAAAATACCGAACTCCAAGGAAAATTCAAAACGGAAAGTCCCTTAACAATTGACAATATTTCACGATTAATATGGGGATTAATCCCGACTAGTTGAAACAGCAACAAAACACATTAAAATCGAAAAGGCTTTTATATATCTATTACATATAGAATTCAGACGATTTAGTGTTATTGCAAATTGGACAACTCTCCACAAGAGACCAAATGGCGTATATGTCTATATTAAAACATTAGTAAAAAATCAAGACATTTTCACCGTATACCGTGCAACAAGAAAAAGATAATATAATTTGCCTGGTAATCATCAAACGTCAGGCGATCAGCCATTTTTTTCAATTATAACTTAAGTCAAAACCCATCAATCAGACTACAATAAAAGTTTCTTAAGAGATAATCCTTCCTGACTGACATTTAATGACATATATATCGATACTCAGCTGATTGTGTATTGCTTTGGAATGTGTATTGGTAAACTATTGTCCCTTTGTTGTCGGAAATGATATAGGTGCACGTATATATATATTTCTTAAGGTAGATAAAAAATAGCGATCAATAGGACTATATACTTCGATCGTATTCAATCAATTTAATAACCGTGTAAAGGAAATAAGGTGTTTCAACAAGTTTTGTCATGCTCGGCTCGGCGTGAAGTCGGATTACGGTGTTAATTAGATCTTAATTATAACCGTGACAGTTAAATACCGACTTTGACATTGTTATAAGTCGGAACGTAAGAACGTACACATACTTAGTTACGCCGAAACTTGTTTGGATATTACAATCCTTTAAAAATAAATATTGCAAAGGAAAATATGGATATTTACTGAAAAAAGAATAAGAAGTCAACACGTATTGGATTGTCGAAGACATACAATAATTAAATTACTATTTTTCAATTGGAATTACTAAACAAAAGAAAACTCCGTAAATATGAGCGGAGGAATGGTTGGGAGTTACATGTTGGCCACTCGAAAGAGGTGAGTAAATGATTTATTCAACAGAAAACTTTGAGAAAAATGAGTTTAACATGTAGAATCAAAGCTAATGATACATACTTATAGTAGAACTTCAAAAAAATATATTAAAGTAATCTCATGTCTAGTGGAAGTGTTCGCTTGGAGATAATTCAACCTAGTTTCTGTCTATTTTTTCGTGATTAAAAGTTAAGATGATAATGGGTTATAAACCCCGGATCCCCCTAATGATTCGCAAATGACATAATCTAATCGCATAATGGAAAAAGAAAAAGGGGAATTTATTATATATTGTGGTTCTCACTTTACTTTCAAATACTTTGTTATAAACGTTCAGCAAAATTAATCAAATTATTATCAGGATAAAACCAACAAATCTCTGTCTTATTAATAATAAAAATATATACACATATGACTGATGTTTTGCACTTTGTCGCCGGAAATTTCACCATTTCGATTCATATGAAAAAAGGACACAATATTTTTATTGACAGTATTCTATTAATGCATAAATTGCAGGTCCTTTTAAAACCCACTGTTTAATTCTAAATTTTTAATTCCATTTCCTTTAAATCCGGGTTCGATCTGAAATCTTGTACAATGTCAATACTAACTTGTAAACTTCTAAAGTAAATAATAATTTCTTTATTCTAATATTTACTTTCAATATTAAACATTTCAATAGCACTGAGAGTTCAACCTTAAAGTATTGCGATTCCCTCGCTGAAAATACTAACAGACGGTAACTTTAGCGTTCGTTGTATTTGCAATACTGCAAAATTAAGTTAACCAACGTCTTAAGGGAGCTACCATTTGATTTTTATGGGGGGCTAGGATGAAAAATTTTGTCCTGCCTTTTTATTTTTCCCTCTTTTCGGTCCTGCCTTTTTATTTTTCACTCTATTCGGTCCTGCTTTTTTTTTTAGTTTATCCTGACTATTTTATTTAACTAAATTGTCATCCTGCCTTTTTTTTTTTGCAAATAATCTCATCCTGCCTTTTTTTTACTCAAAACTCCTGTCCTGCCTATTTTTTTCAAATTTCATCCTAGCCCCCCATAAAAATCAAATGGTAGCTCCCTAAACAACATATAACACGACAATAAACTAAAGTTGTATTAACAAAAGTCATAAAGTAACTAAAGTATCACTCTGTTAAAACTTTAATACAGTTCAAATTTTCAAGGATTTTAAATGTTTGAAATGGATTCATCATGGTTTGACAGAGTGCCAGGTCATAACCGTTATATAGTTATACTCTGTTGGAGTTTTATTGTCGTATTGGCTTTACACCACTCCATGAAGGCAAATCCAATTTGTTTGTTTGTATTTAATCACACCAATTAATTATGTTTCATTTTAAATAGTACACTAGTCAATCTGAACTAAGCTATGCAGGGGCGGATCCAGCCATTTATAAAAGGGGGGGGGGGGTCCGCCACTGGCTATGTAAAATGTATATAGATGGGGTATGATTACCAATGTGACAGCTATCCAAAAAAGTTCAAATGAAGCGGATTTATGCACATTACGGCTTATGTTTAAACTTTCTTGCTCTTGATATTTTTTTAACATGCCGCTTTTAATTCTTCATACATTAAAGTAAACAGACTATTAGTTTATATATGCGATTACAAATGGAGTTTAAAAAAGTTGTTTATTAGTTGGGCATTTGCTCGGAAAAAAATCAGAATGGGATGTTTGAAAACGAGAAAACAATCTCATCAAATAACGAGTTGTGTTGTTGAATTGCTGTCTCATTGACCCAAGCATCCTTTTACTCTACCACAACAAAAAACGGAACATAGCATTTATTGTTATTATTCTTCTTGTGAAAGAAACTACAAATCTAAATTATGAATATAAGTAATAACACCACATTTCAGCAATTTTACGTTCTGTAATTTTTCTTATCTTTCCTTTTTTTGAAGGAGGGGGTAATTGATTATTTATTTTCGTTTGTTTGCGTTAATTTCAAAGAAAGAAGAAATGAATTTGTGTGGCCTTATTTATATATATTTTTATCTTAATTCTCAGTCTATATACTTACATTGTAAGAATAAATAGGCGATTGTCTTAATGTAAGTTGTCGTTTAAATTTATAGTTTTGTACCAACTTTAGTCTATAAAACCATCGAAGTTTTATATATACGACCGTAATAGTATACCGTATAGGATAAGCGAATCATACTCGAGATTTGATTAGATTAAATTTATATCCTCCTGGCTGCGTTCAAACTAAAATTATATCCTCTTGGTTGCGTTAAAAATAAAATTATATCCCCTTGGCTGCGTTTAAAAATAAAATTATATCCTCTTGGTTGCGTTCACAATGCCTTTTTATTATTCTTTAGCTGATTTCGAAATGCTTTTCATAATATCTATTTTCATTGATAATATAATCCTAGTCGTCAACTCTGAACAGAACAGTTAAAAAGCTACATTGAAAGCTACAACTTACGGAAGTTAAGTGTACAGTTTCATCTTGATATAAAAGTAAGGCAATGGTTGCCAATGATAAAATTACCCAACAGACCACAGGACGAGAATTATACCACTATATTTCACCGTACGGCCTTCAACAATGACCAAAACCCTTCCGTATAGTATTTCAAGAACTGGAGGAAATTCCGATAAATCTATAATTCAAAACATGCAATTTTCACAAGCCCTTAAATAAGAACAAAGTTACCGGCAAGATTTACTACCTATGTAATGATCAGTAATGGAAAGCTGATTCCAAAAACCAGCATCGTTTTAGACCAAAAACCAGACTCATTTTAAACTTAAAACCAGCCTCATTTTAGACTAAAAACCAGCCTCGTTTTAAACATAAAACCAGCCTCATCTTAGACCAAAAACCAGCCTCATTTTAAACATAAAACCAGCCTTATCTTAGACTAAAACCCAGCCTCATTTAAGACCATTTCCCAGCATCACTCTGAGCATGGATATAGTAGATCACACATTGAAAGTCCTTACTCTAAGAAAAGATGGAAAGTGGTCTAGACTCACAGTAATAGTAAAAAGTGCTGAATAAGCCCTTAAATTCTTAAAATTGGTTTTAAATACTCACTTGTGAACATTTCATATGATTAAAAACATTTTTCTTTAACAGATACAAATAAACAATTCATTATTTAAACGTTTAAATAAACACATGACACTATCAAAGGATCTGGTAATTTAAATTGTAACGTTTTTTGTTCCCTCAAGGTCGGTTATATTGAACGGAACATTGGAAGTTTGACACATAATACTTCGTATCGAAGGAAATATAGGGCTATAATTACTAGTATTATTAGGTCATTTCAGTTTAAATTATAGCAAAAGAGTTTTTTTTTAAATTCTATGCACCAAATTAAGCAAGAAAATATGGATACAAAAACATTGACATATAAACAATATATATTTATAAATTTATATCTTCAGTACATGATACACCCTAAAAGTTTCGAACAAGACAGAAAGGCCTTCTTCTGATCGATCTAAATAAAATGGCACTACTTTCTATATTGCTACGTTGCTTTTAGAAAACAGTGGTCCAAATTTAAAAGTCTTTAAGATACACGTTTTAGAAATAGCTAAATATCTTAATATTGTGGTTAAATAATTAAAGACCTCAGCATCATTTTAAACTATATTTTTTTTACGATAAACCTATACATGTAGCAAATAAGAAAAGTCTGTATGTGTCCCCCCCCCCCCCCCCCCCCCCATACAATTAATATTGAAGATTGAATTTATCTCCTTTGCAAGTCTTCAGTATATTTATTGTTCTAAAAATTGTTGTGAACTGTGAACTATTTGAATGAATGCTTGTTGGTGAGAAACTCATTGTCAAAAGTAAAATAACAAAAATACCGAACTCCAAGGAAAATTTAAAACGGAAAGTCCTATATCAAATGGCAAAATCAAAAGCTCAAACACCTCAAACGAATGGAAAACAACTGTTACAAAAGGTACTTAATTTTTTATGTTTTCCTCATACTTATCCACTGTCGCTCCTTCATTGTACATATGTTATTGTAGTTTGTCTGTAATTTGTTGCCGGCATAAACATAAATTGTTAATGTGTTAGTGCTAATAGTGTATTCAGGAAAAAAAAAGTTGTGAATAAAAGTATAATCAACAAAGTTAACATGGTTAATTTATGATACATTAAATTTGAAAAAAGAACTTTTGCTATTATGAATTCGAAATCTCTTGTTTAGAAATCAAAATAAATCTAGATTATTCACAAAACAAAATACTATTCATTCCCTGCAAGTACATGTACATTAGATTATAAATAACCAGGCCATTGACGAAACACGTGTTATTGACAACAGTTCAATGTTTATATCTACAAACATCTTACATTTTTGATACCTAAGAAAAAATGCTACATGTATTTAACATGTTTAATTCCCGACCCAATCAATCCTACCTCATAAATTCTTTAGTCCCCAAAATTCTGTTCAATAATTGGCATCACTCAAAGGTCTGTACAAAAACTTACAAATTTTCTAAAAATAACTATGACCCATCATTTTGAAATGAATAATCACCTACCTGTATAATAAAGCAAACTGGACCGTCCCAGTATTTGTATTAATTCATTTATTTACAACAAAATATTAATCTCTTATAATAAACGATAAATCTGCAAAAAATAATTGTTATTCAGACTTGATCGACCACCTAATTTATAATTCTACATTATCCATGTTTTTCATCTACACATGTAAATATACTGATCATTGTAAAAGTGGTTACGTAGATAAACTATATATATATACTTCAATATTGTATGGGGGACACGTAGTGGCGGACCCAAGGGGGGAGGGTTTCGGTAGTTGGAACCCCCTTTTTTGGACGATCAATGCATTTGAATGGGGAAATATGGTTGGAACCCCCCCCCCCCCGTTTCTGCTGGGTTGGGACCCCCCCTTTTAAAAATGGCTGGATCCGCCCCTGACACGTACATACTTTTCTTATTTGCTACATTCATATATATATATA